AAGACTTGCAGAGCAATGTAGGAAATCACTTGCCAATTTTTGTGATGACTGAGGCTTTTTAGAAATTCAGTTGCCATGGTGAGTGACTGCAGAGTCAGATGATTTGAAACTACACTGTTTTCTTCTCTGTGCCAGTAATGCTTTATGTTCTCACTGGTGGAGCGACTCATATCGCAGTTAAATAGTGTTACCAACTGTGTCATAAACATAATTGTCAACCATTGTTACAGTACGTGCTTCTTATTATTGCTTTTAAATGTCACAGTTAAGTACTAAGGAAATAGTGCTGATATTTTTATTGTCAATGTCAGTTATACAGTAATGTGTTACTGCTGTATAGATGAAGTGCAGTTCCATCTTAGCTGATTAGCAGGTGGTAATAGCATGATGTTAATTACACCTGGCACCTAGTTTTGTGAATCTGTGCGCCAACATAGATTTTTAAATATAAATTTTACATAGAAAGAATGAAAGGGTGATGACAGATACTTAATTTAAGTACTCAAGATGCAAAGCTATTGGTTAAACTTGACTACAGGTGGTTATGAGACTAAAACGGTTTAGTTAATTCCCTCTGGCTCTCTATTTCTCACTCCCTTCTCATTCTCTCTCTTTCTCTTGCTCTCTCTACAGAGTAAATCTGGCTTTGGCCTATACTGAACTAACTGAGGAGTTGGGCAAGCTACAGGCTCTGACCTCGAAACAGACAGAGATATTGCGAAAAGCCTCACAGGAGCCGGCAAGCCCAGGTAGGAGGACAAGGATTTCGATATGTCATCAATATTATACATTCAGTTAGAGACGTATATATTTGAACAACTATAATTACACTTTACAGAGTCATGAACATACACTATATATCTAAAAGTATGTAGACATCATCTAATTACCCGTTTGTATAGTCGAAAGAGCTCAGTGACTTTATTTAATGTGGCTTTGTCACAGGATTCAACCAGTGAAATGGTTTACAAATATATACGTGTCTGTGTGTGCATTTATATACTGTATACCTATAAATATGCACAGTACACACATTAGAGAGTTCTGTAGAACTGGCTTAATTAGCCCATTTCAAATGGCTGGAAAAAGGAAATCACTATTTAATTTCATGAAATAGTTTATTACTTTATATTCTAATGACCCACGACACTCAATGAAGTCCTTTGGGATGAGTTGGAACATCCACTGCCAACGCCTGACCTTACTGATGCTCATACTTTTTGCCATGTACAGGGTAATGAAGACCTGGTTTAGGTAATGATCATATTTTCATACTTTAATAAACCTCTTTTGTAATTCAGCCAATTTGTCAAACTCATACAAATTCAGCAAAGTAGGTGGGTAAACAGGCACTTTTTTTTAGCACTGCATGCTTGTTTGCTGTCTGGTTAAATTCCACAAGGAATGTTTTTGCTGACATGTTCTGATCGCCTCTCATGTCGAGTGCCTCTTATGAGTTTGAGAACATAAACAACTCCCCCCTTATCTTTTTAGCACCTCTGCTCTCAACCACACAACCCATTTGATATAGGAAACCAGACCAAAAAGCAGAAGCGGAGATGGAGGGGGGAAAAAACCCTACTGATTCATAGATAGAAGGACTGATTTCTCTAAATAGCTGATTGCAATCTCACGATTGCAGGAAGCTCAGTGTATGCACGTTAGACTTATTATTGAGAGACAGATGCATCTTCTGTACAGGATCTTGTGTGCCCGTTGCTAGTCAGAAAGTGGTGTAGCAGTAGCCTACCACAGGTGCTGGGGTGAATGCACAGGAAAACAATACGAAAATATCTCAAAGAGGAAATGTGAGGGGAAAGAGGAAGTCATTACAGACATCTATCTGTCCATTAGGGACTGTGCTGTTTACACAGTTTTTAAAGATATCCTTCCGGTAATAAAATGAACCATGCTACATTTAATGAAATAAAATATTCAGATATATTATATATGAATTTAGCCATATAAATTTAACAGAAACTACATGTCTTTACCCAATGGCCATGTCTTACGTAGAGCATATTCACTGTCTTACGCTTTTATGACTAACTCATAACTTGCGTGTGATATTGTGCAAATGTAAGTTGTAATATGTTGTGTCTACTGTATCAATGCATGTTAATATCTTGTGGTGGCATGTTTTTAATCAACAGTATTTAAAATTAAATTGTTTAAATATCGTCATGATGCTTTTTTCATCTTGTCTTTGTTACTGTTGATGAAAAAAATTATTGTTAAATTTACGATGTACGGAGCCCCATAAATATATTTATTGACTTTGTTAATTCTAATTCTTACTTCCTGGCCTCGATTTAAATAAAACCATTTAAATACAATGAAAATTCGAGCTTTGTAAAAGCAAGGCTTCATAATGATGAAACAGATTTTTCTTCCATGTTGTGACATACATCCAAGTCTAACAGATTAATTATAAAGAAAAAAGTAGGATGGGAACTTGGTTCTATTTATCAAGTTGCTGATTGGATTTTGAGATGTGGAGGAGGCAAAAATGGAGGCAGATGAATGAGAGATTGCAGAGACAGAGTTTAAGCGGACTAAATGAGGGGAAATCCAGCATACATCACCAGAGAGAAGTCTGTCATCTGACCAGTAGTTATATTTTGATTAAATATATGACTAATATATGAGGCTGACTTTAGAGAAATTTCATCAGTAATTTTTTGACAAGATTTACACTGATCTCAGGCATTTAATCAATGTGTTTGTTTAAACATGTCTTGTGTCTTATATTCATTCTGCAGAACGTTTTTCACTTTCTTATGTCCTGTGTTTATTTTCTAGTTCAGCGCCACTCTCCTGTCCCTCACCAGAGGCATTCTCCTGTTCCACAGCGACATTCCCCAATCCAACAGCGGCATTCCCCTATTCAACAGCGTCATTCTCCTATTCCCCAGCGACGCTCCCCTGTTCTGCAGCGTCTCTCTCCGGACATGCACCGTCGCTCACCTCTGCCTGAGCTCAGCAACGGCCCCGCATCCTATTCCTGCAGGCCCACTTCCCACCACTTGAGGGCCAGTTTCCAGGGAAGACGCAGTTACTCTGAAGTAGCCGATCCGTCGGCTTATCAACGGCCCCCGCGGTTCACTCTGGACCCGGTGTCCACTTTGCCGAAACCTCGACCATATGTCGACAGCTACCACAAGCAGCAGCAGCAGCAACAACAACAGCAACATGGAGGAAGCCAACACATGTTAGTTCAAAGACAGAGCTCTCAGTCCGGGGTTGGAGGTGATGGGGGATTGGCTGAATCTCCTCGGCTGACCAGGGAGCTGTCTTTCCACCACTCGGATGTTTCCCACTTGCATTTTGAGCCTCAGCACAGCCCAGCACCTCTGCATCCATCTCCACAGCCTCCACAGTCCTCAGAGGATGAGGAGGAATGGTCCTGCCCTCATCCCATCAGTCCTCCACGAACACTGGGGATGTCGAGCCCCTCATCAATCTCCAGAGGCCCCGCCTCTTGTTCTGCTTTCCCCATTCCTTCCCATCCCAACACCCTAAGCTGTCACCCACCTGGATACCTGCACGCAGAGCATGCCCAGTCTTGGCCATCCATCAATGTGAGTAGCAAATCACATTCAGTGGCCAGACTAACCTACATAGGCTCTTTGGGGAAAAAATGTGCCTGTGGTGACATTTCTGTAAAATTATGTTACGTTGCTTCTGGCTCATTTTGTGACACTTTCAAAGTGAAATGTATAGTGAGTGGTGCTAAAAGCAATTACAGTTTTATCCAAAACAGATGAACATAAATCTGACTTGTACCCCAAGCATGCATATTGAAAGTGCAATGCTTGTACCAGGTGAGCTACCGAGCAAGTTTACTACATCAGAAAAGCCATCCATATGGAGATGGTTATGTGATGCGAACGTCAAAATATATCAGTTTACAAATCATGCGTTATTGTAAAAGTATTTTGAGGTCATAATATAGTATTGTGCATAAAACCGCAATTTGGCATAGAACAAAGTATTAATTGATAATCTCTTCCTGTAATCATAATCTGTGTGAAAAGGAGTAAAAGTTGTTGGTGTTTGTATAAATAGATATGTTATTGGAGTTTTGCAAAAATGTAGGTAGAGGCACATTTTTCCAATAAACCTATTTTGAGAATATAACAAAGGTGAAATGTGTAATTTCTACACCATTTGTCACCCAACAGAATTACAAATGATTTTTTTCAGACTGGATTCCTCAAACTTGTGCAGCATTCAGAATTAAATTAAGAATATTTTTAACTAAAAAAAAAAACAAAGGTTTGCTAAATCAAACTTTAAATGGTGGCTTGACAAAGCCACGTCTTAATGTTTAAATGTCTTAAAATTTGAAATGTCACCTGATTTTGTTTCCCAATTACTTTTTCATATTTAATAAATTTGCAGAGCAGCATGGAATAATAATTAATTTCCAAGAATACCATTACTCATCGAATTTTTTGAAAATCCACTTCCTGTAAACCAACTTCCTGTAGAGTTTGGCCAATTAAATATATAAATGAGAACTGACTTGAAAGGGAGATTCCAAATGCACAACTGAGGTGTCTATTATTGGCTGTACAAACAGATAACCCCACCCCCAAACTCACTCCATTGGTTGAGCCACCGTTGCGGTGTCTGGCTGCTCTAACCAACACAGAAATATTTTGAAAGCACCTTGGAGACACAGTGTTTACAGATGTCAGAGAAATTCATAATCAAATGGCTTACATATAGCTGTCTGTGCCAAACAAGCTGGCAAAGGAGAAGATAGTTTAAATTCAATAAAATACACATCTCACCTTTATTATATCTGTTCGGTTTTAAAACGTGGATTTTAAACATTACGGCTGTCAAACATATCACTGTGTCCTTTACAGCTGTGGATGGAGACGGAGGAGGAGGGTGACGTCAGGAGCTGCCCACTGTGCCAGCTAATCTTCCCTGTTGGTTACCCTGATGATGCCTTGATCAAGCACATTGACTCGCACCTGGAGAACAGCAAGATCTGACACCCACAGCCACGCCATGACCTTCTGTTGTTCCACAGTTACATTCACTCTTTGATCCCGGTATTTTTAGCTGGGTGCCTTCAGACAGAATGTAGGCGATGCACCTGTGGCCATTCTCACAATTTGGCTCATATATCTATATATCTTGCTGCTTTTCAACAAAATTCTTGAAAAATTGTAACTTTCTTTTTTAAACACTGTTTGTCAGCAATTACACGCACGAAACCAAACTGACTGAGCATACTGCAATACTCTCATTTCAGCTTTTAACTACAGTTCCCATGATTATTTGCATTATTTACACTTCAATGTGGTCATATTAGACATATGGACAATGGTTGCATTATTTGAATTTCAGCACTTTATATAAGCACTTAATATCCAGTTTACCTTGATCAATATTACTAACACGGAGGCAAAAAAGTAAAACCTTATAGATATAATTTATTTTTTAATACTCCAGGGTCTTACCCTTAAATATATCTTAGTTTGGCAGGACTTCCCTTTAACACAACTGGATTATTTGTAATTATCTGTAAATTCACAATCACATCTATTTTGTTTGTCTTCCGGGCGTTTGGCTGTACAAAAAGAGACGATTTTTATTTAAAATATTCTTAAAGAATTTCCTCTCATAATATACATAATGATTGCAGCTCTGTGCACACCGTTTTAGCCAACCACTAACAAAACACCAGTTACTGTTGTTTCTAAAGACTTGATTTCCATAGTACACTTAGACAGTGGATGGTTTTGATCATTTTTGATGTAATTACTTAAGAAAAATTGCTTTAACAAAATATATTTGTTCTTCTGATCACACCACAGAGCGCAATCTGTTTTATCAGTTCAAACTTTTTTTAATGTACTGTAAATGTATACCTGTATTTAAAGCCAATTATATGTATTAACCTGTAAATTCAGCTATATAATATAGATGTGCATTTTTCAAGCTTGGATAAGAGCAAATGGATTGCTGAAGATTAAAAGAAAACTACTGGAACTGCTAATTCAAGTTTTGTATTGCTGTGATATAAATGATCACAGCACCCAGTTGAGTGTTTAATTAGCTAAGTGTTTAATCGTATTACTATTCCCTATTCTTCCAGGTGTACCTTATATTATATGTTAAAGTCTTCTTTCTTGGTATTTTCCCTGATTCTGCAGACTTTGTGAAAATGAGGGCACTGGATCTGCTACTAACCCAAATACAGAGGAGCTAAAATAGGAAAGTAGTGTGTCCAAAATAAGAAGCTGTCTATAAAATAACTGGTTGGAGGTTTCATTCAATTGGCCATCTAATTTTATGTGGCAATTGCTAATATTCTGGAAAAATGTCATTCCAGATGTTGTAAATATATGAATCGTCTATGATGTCACCATTCAAAATAGCCTACATGAAATACTAAAAAACAAATACAACCAAAGACACAGCCTGCTTGTTTTTTCATTTTTTTTTCACATGATGACCAAGTACCACTTAAGAATATTACACAGAAATATGGTGCAATTGGCACACGTGGAAAAAAAAAATTAATGAATAGTGTGCAGACGTGGACAGATGCAGCTGAAGTGTAAAGACAGTTCATTTCTGCATAATCACCCACAAGTTTCCATATCTAAATATATATAACTTGTCTTGCACCCTTGTCCATGAACATGCAGAGTAGAAGCAAAGTAAAACTTCAGCCACTATTCACAAAGATTCGCTCAGGAGTTATTTAAAGAGCTATTGTTGTTACCTTGCTCCTCAAGACAGTGTTTTTTGTTTTGTTTTTTTTCCGCAAAGGCAAATTAGCAAACTAAATGCTTTTCTGGATGCTCCAAGTGTATGATCTCTCTTTTGCCCTGTAGTTTGTTGTGTGGTTTTATTTGTGATATTCTTTAATATTTGTGAATATGGCTCCTTGACCATACACAACTAACTTCCACTGGGACAATGTGAGAACTCGACAAATCTATTGAAGAGCCAAGAGGACACTGATGGGGTAGAGATATTTTGTCATACCAACAAGGTACTTTAAAGAAAGAAATAGAAAAAAGACGTGAAAATGAATGCATATTGTGTCAAAAAATATTCTGTAAATATTATGAAATAAACTGGAACATGCACTGATTTTGTGTCTATTTGTCTCACTTGGTGAATATGGCTAAAATTATCCACAAATAATGTTTTTTTTTTCACTCAAAAACTGAGGTGCATAAGCTTAGATCAATGAGGTTCATGATCAATCAGCTCCAAGAAGAAATACAAAACGTGCTAAATGAAATAAAACAAGTCCAAGATTGAATCCAAGAATATATAATAATAATATAATATTCAACAAGAGTTGAATAGGATCACAGTGAACTGATAATTTATAGAACAGTCAATCATGTTTTCAAATGATATCTCCTTGTAACTCAAATTTGGGAATATCAAATTGCATTAGAGTAATTAATTTTCTCGTTCACAATTTAGTGGAAAAGTTTGCTTGAAAATGTGCTTTAAAATACACGTTGCTTGTTTTCATATTTTGGTCATACAATGATATTCAAACATGTTCATGTGTGGCATAAGGTAATAAATACATTTTGGGACAACTCTCGCTAACATCGACATAATAAATTACTATTTTTGTCAAATTTTATAAATATCTTCATCTGAATTGAAGATTACAACAAAACAGTATATGCGTGGAATTTCTTTTAATTATTTATTCATTTATTCATTTACAGTATTTACTTTTTGGGGGGTGGGGGGTTGATCTCTTATAACAGATATCTTAGAAAGAACCTCTCTCTCTCTCTCTCTCTCTCTTTTTTTTTTCAAAATTCACCATGCTGTTTATATTCATTGAACTGAGAGCAACAATACAGATGGTATTGTCAAAGTGCTGTTTTAAAACTCTCATCTGTTTTCCTCTAATTCCCCCACCCCACTTCCGACCCTTTGTGTAATTTCTCTGCCACATACACTCTCAGTGAGAGATACACTTTTTTCAAGTTCACAGGATGGCCCGCCCATCCGCTCAAAACCACATTCTCTCCGTGAAGAGCTTAGTACTCTCTCTTTCTCTCTTTTCTTTTCTTTCTTGACAGACTCACACAAACACACATCACATAGGCAAATGCCTCCACCTCAAACATTTCAGCAGATATGGGTCATAGGTTTTAGGGGTATTAATTAAAACTAAAGCACAAAGGAAAATCAAAGCCAAGTGGATTTACGAATTATAATTAATTTGAATTTATGAATTATAATTCATTTCAAACATTACAATAAGTACAAAAGTATTATTTTTGTGCCAATATTTACTTCTAAATCTACAATATTTAACTGTTGAGAACAGTGGAAGAAATATATTGGCTAAGAATTTCCAATAATAATAAAAAAAGTGTTCATAGCTGTTTTTCACCTTTTGTCTGACGTTCATGAGAAAATAAAATAGCACTTGATGGACCATGATAAGAGTTCAGCATTAGTGGTTAACATAAATAGTTATTTTCTGATGTGTTGCTGCGGTCATCTTCACACCTTTTAAGGTCTTACACAAAATAACTAAAGGCCTCAAAAGTGAACAATTGGATAAATCCAGAAACGTTTTGTGAAGTCGGATTGGCATATACATGCATTCATATCACCATGGATTAAAAAAATTTAATTCAACATAAACACACTATTCATGGCCATAAATATGTGGAATCCAAAACCATTGGCATTAATAGTGAGTTGGTCCTACCTTTTGCTGCTGTATCTCGGAAGACTGTATCTGTGATGACTTAAGTCACAGTAAGTGTCTCAATTCATCCAAAATGTGTTCAGTGCTGTTCACATTTAGGTTTTTTGCTGACCAGTTAAGTTCTTTCACACCGGTAAATTATTTCTTTATGGATCTCACTTCTATGCCCAGTCATATTGTCATACTGGAACAGGAAAGGTGCACTAAAAAGTGTGCATGCTGCATGATTGATTGTATGCACCTGCTAGTAATGGGTGCAGTTGAAATAGCAAAACCTGTTAATTAAAGGGGGGGGGGGGGGGGGGTTAAGGTCTTACACAAAATAACTAAAGGCCTCAAAAGTGAACAATTGGATAAATCCAGAAACGTTTTGTGAAGTCGGATTGGCATATACATGCATTCATATCACCATGGATTAAAAAAATTTAATTCAACATAAACACACTATTCATGGCCATAAATATGTGGAATTAGTGAGAGTGTGTTACTCTCTCGTGATATTAATCTCAGTTGTGAAATTATTTAATAAAAGAGACAAAAAAAGAAGTATAAATATTGCATCTTTAGATGAAACCATAATAACTTCTTTATATGAAACCCTTCAGGTTTTGGGCTCAAACTTTAATTTGCTTACTTGAGTATCTAATCCTAGTGCAGTACCCTAAGGTACAATAGCTAAAAGGTACATCTTTGAACCTTATTTACCCCTAAATGCTACATATTAATAACTTAAATGTAAAAAAAAGTTTTGTACCTTTTTTCAAAGAGTGTACTGTTTCATCTCTGGACTTCACTCTCAGAAAAAAAGGTACAAAAGCTGTCACTGGGGCGGCACCTTTTCAAAAGATATTAATATGTACACTTTAGGTACAAATATGTACCTTTAAGGTACTAAAATGCACGCTTTAGGGGTAAATAAGGTACCTTTTGAAAGGGTAACCCCCCACCACCCCCACCCCCACAGCGGCAGCTTTTGTACCTTTTTTCTGAGAGTGTTCAAGAAGCTCCTTTTTTTTAGCCTTTTGAAGTTCTTTTTTTAAGCAAATGTTCAGTGCTGCTACTTACATTATACAGGAGGCCTACAAATTTGAAAATGCATAACAAGAGCTATAAAAAATGTTGCGTGTTTTGTGTTTTGCTGTTGAGCTTTGGCCTGGCAACACTGGTCAAAAATAAACTAGCTATCTACCAATAACACTGTGCATCTATTTCCTTAATACCATGCAGTTTAGCCAAACGGTTTAAGTTAGCAACATAATATCACATCTCACGCTTAAACCCATTTGCTTCTGTATCCCTGTGTCTCCCACATTTTCCACTAGATGGCCAGGAAGATCACGAGAACAAGGTCTTTCACCATCCATGTGGAACATAGACAACATTCCGTGTGGAAAATAACACAGAGATAGATAGATAGATAGATAGATAGATAATTAATTTGAATTTATGAATTATAATTCATTTCAAACATTACAATAAGTACAAAAGTATTATTTTTGTGCCAATATTTACTTCTAAATCTACAATATTTAACTGTTGAGAACAGTGGAAGAAATATATTGGCTAAGAATTTCCAATAATAATAAAAAAAGTGTTCATAGCTGTTTTTCACCTTTTGTCTGACGTTCATGAGAAAATAAAATAGCACTTGATGGACCATGATAAGAGTTCAGCATTAGTGGTTAACATAAATAGTTATTTTCTGATGTGTTGCTGCGGTCATCTTCACACCTTTTAAGGTCTTACACAAAATAACTAAAGGCCTCAAAAGTGAACAATTGGATAAATCCAGAAACGTTTTGTGAAGTCGGATTGGCATATACATGCATTCATATCACCATGGATTAAAAAAATTTAATTCAACATAAACACACTATTCATGGCCATAAATATGTGGAATTAGTGAGAGTGTGTTACTCTCTCGTGATATTAATCTCAGTTGTGAAATTATTTAATAAAAGAGACAAAAAAAGAAGTATAAATATTGCATCTTTAGATGAAACCATAATAACTTCTTTATATGAAACCCTTCAGGTTTTGGGCTCAAACTTTAATTTGCTTACTTGAGTATCTAATCCTAGTGCAGTACCCTAAGGTACAATAGCTAAAAGGTACATCTTTGAACCTTATTTACCCCTAAATGCTACATATTAATAACTTAAATGTAAAAAAAAGTTTTGTACCTTTTTTCAAAGAGTGTACTGTTTCATCTCTGGATTTCACTCTCAGAAAAAAAGGTACAAAAGCTACAAATATGTACCTTTAAGGTACTAAAATGCACGCTTTAGGGGTAAATAAGGTACCTTTTGAAAGGGTAACCCCCCACCACCCCCACCCCCACAGCAGCAGCTTTTGTACCTTTTTTCTGAGAGTGTTCAAGAAGCTCTTTTTTTTTTTAGCCTTTTGAAGTTCTTTTTTTAAGCAAATGTTCAGTGCTGCTACTTACATTATACAGGAGGCCTACAAATTTGAAAATGCATAACAAGAGCTATAAAAAATGTTGCGTGTTTTGTGTTTTGCTGTTGAGCTTTGGCCTGGCAACACTGGTCAAAAATAAACGAGCTATCTACCAATAACACTGTGCATCTATTTCCTTAATACCATGCAGTTTAGCCAAACGGTTTAAGTTAGCAACATAATATCACATCTCACGCTTAAACCCATTTGCTTCTGTATCCCTGTGTCTCCCACATTTTCCACTAGATGGCCAGGAAGATCACGAGAACAAGGTCTTTCACCATCCATGTGGAACATAGACAACATTCCGTGTGGAAAATAACACAGAGATAGATAGATAGATAGATAGATAGAAAACGTTACCTAAAAACACTATACTGGCCAATACATATATTGTTCACAATTAAAACTTGGCATAGTTAATTGATCCTAATCATTCCTTAACCGCATAGTTGCTGAGAAAAATATCTAAATAACTAATCTAATATCTAATAAAATAATCAGGACTTTGTTAATATGTACTGATATCTTTCAGTTTTACCGTTACTATCACAAACACAGGTAGCCCACCGAGAAACAACAATGCATTGGATTTCCCCTGTAAGTGCCCATATGTCCTACATGTAAAACAAAATGAGTTTGATAGTATGCTAGAGGATCAAACAGAGCAGGGATCAAACAGCAGGGAGCAGAAGTGAATCTGTTTGCGCAATGAGCCAATCAGAGCAGTGCGAGGCATCAACACGGAGCAGGAGGCTGTGACCTGCGTTTGAACTGCTGACCTGTGTAACTCACTCCTATTGACACACACTACCACACTTCCAACATAACGCTTCAGCAAGCACAGCGAGGCCCTGGGCAAGAGGGATGGA